ATGCTGGGCCCGCAAATGTTGATCTCAACGCTGGCGGGTTAAAGCTTGTTCTCAGGAGGCCTAACTCGGGATCCCTGGCAGGAGAGGAGGAGGTTCATATGACTATGGAATCGGCACATCCTGGTTAGCCTGTGAATGAGAATTGAAAAGTGTATTAGATGACTAACATAAGTAATAGGGATTGAATTGTGTGTGAGTTTGAGGGTAGTATCGCGTAAGAACATGAATGAGCTTGCATAGAGTGGAGGTTTAGTTGGGGAGTAAGCTTTGGGTGTAGGAATATGTCCGCTATTCGTAAAGTCTAGCTGCGAATTGCGTCCCTTGAGAGAAAGAAATTTACGTAGTTTTTTAATGCGTCCAGCTTTCTTAATGAATGCCATAGGATTGAATGAGTATTTAGGTAGTGAGAGGTTCATATAGGCACTCTGCTGTAGATGTACCCATACCGTGGTGGGCGCGACATTACCCTTGGGAGGTTTGGGGTATAAAACGACACTGATCCTCAGGTAACCAGTTGGAGAGGACTTCTCTTGAGAATGTGGTTGCTGATGATTACGGTCACTTGCATAGGAAGACGAAGTGGCCATCTTTGTGTCGCGTTGTTTCGAGGTTGTCGCTTTGCTAGATGTTGGGGGTTGCAAGTTCGATGGGGTTGAAACACAAAGTAGGTTGTGCGCATCGGCAGGCAGTTTCGAGCGAGCCGCAGACGTCATTGCTGGTGGCAGTGTTGATGAGGCCGGAGCTGGGAACGGTGAATACACTTCTTTCTGGAACTTTATAAGTCGATGTGAAGGATTCCAAGGAGATGGAGAGTCTCGCTCGCTGGTTGCCGCAAAGAAATCGATACCTCGCTGCTTGGGATCGCGAAGAGTACCGACGTCCTTATTTGAATTGTGCCAATCCGGAGAAGGTGATGGCATTGTGGATCGTTTTGGTTGCTGCTGAAATCGAAAGTGGGTTATAGTGGAGGACCGTGAAGTGAAAGGAAATGTTGGCAATGGGGACCTACACCTGGGAGCTGGCGTATTTGTGGTTTTGCCGAACTTTGAGTATCTTTCAACATCTTCGGGATCGAGAGTTGAATTTATGCTTTCTTGTGGGGCTTCCCTTTCATTTATAATTCCGTTCGATGGTTTCGGCTGAGCTTTCATAGGCGGTAGAGGCCCTGCCGGACCGGAAGATTCCGCATCTGATGATTCTTGGGGTAGATATGGGGTTGGAGTGTAGTTATTTTGAGAGTAATTAAGGAAATCATCGGAGGATTCTATGCTGTAGTTTTTCTTTGGAGTAGAACTTAGAGTGTCGGATACTCGGGTTGTATCTATGGGGGCAGACACCTGGTTAGTGGACTGTATAGTTGGGGTTCCTTCATTGGGGGCTGAAGATTTTGTTAGGCTTGGAGTAATCTCTGGAACTTGCGGAGTTGCTGAGTTGGTATTAAGAAAGTTCAATGCTTCAACCATTTCAGCTTCGCATTTATAATATTGAGTCGAGCAGTTTGCAAAAGTTGTGGTTACTGAACTACGTACTAATGTAAAACGGTGTGAATGGGAAAGTTGTTGAAATGAGGTCACGACGCTTTCCCAGTTTTGGTCCAAGAGTTGCATTTTTACTTTTAACAGCGACACTGAGAGGTTCGATGTTGAGGTGGAAGACCATCTTTGGCACAGTAAATCGAATTTGTGGCTTTCGAACTTAAAATCCTGATGGGATGCATTTGTTGCGTGCGTGCACTGAGAAAATTTGGGAATTATTTCCATTTTTATTTTATATTTTATATGGGCTTAGGAAATTACACTATAAAATGAAATTTCTTTTGGTTACTAAAATTTTTTCCTTTGTATTAATTTACGTTGATGTAATTTTATTTATGTAAGTTTATTTATTTTGTCCCACTGTGAGGTGTTCTCATAGTTTGACCAACTTAAGCCACTGTATTATCTGTGTAAATATAAACATACATATGTATTCGCTTTAATGCAATAGCTACTGCGCGTGTACATATGTATTTATACCTTGCGCGCCAGCAAAGCTACTGGAACCTGTACAGATATACATATACATATAGTTCTGTACGTACATACATATTTGTTTATAACGCGACAAAAATTTTGTTTCATGTGGCCTCTAGGAAATGCAGATCAAAGAAAGTTCACTTATGGACCTTGTGTACATGCGCACGTACTCACATATCTATCGCATGAAACTTAATATTCACAGCGAGTTAGATTTAATTTTTTTTTTTTTTTTTTTTAGGATGGCTCGATTCGAATTTTATATGGGTAATGTGGGTTGGGTTAATTATATAAACTGTACCTCGTTACAATATTAAGGGGTTTGAGTCCAGTTTAAATTTAAAATTGATTTAAAATAATTCTTTGATTATTATTTTTTATTTTGTGTGGGTACTGGTTTGGTCCCACCGTGAGTCAGTTGCTTTTTGCTACACTGTACTGTCTTAGCGCGTCTAAGTCCAGTAACAGAGATTTTTGTGTGCAGCGCAAGAGCGAAAAAAAGGGGTGGAGCCTATTTGTGTACGCGTTGGTATGTATGTACGTACCTCGGCGATTTTCTATATGTACATATAAGTATGTGCAATATGAGTGCGCGGTAACCGAATTATATTCGAAGTGCTGTTAACGGTCGAAAAGGGGTAAGCAACCAACCATGTATTTATATATACGTACGTATGTCGCACTTGACTACGCTAATATTAGCATGGGTCAATTTTTTTGCGATAAAAAACCGAACAAGTTGTGTTCAAATGCATGTATCTACCTCTATATATATTTGGATATATATTTATAAATTTATGTGTGAGGGCCGAAAGGTCTATATATTTTATAAAAATCTTGAAGGAGACTGGGAAACGCTTCTTTTTATATTTATTTATTTAAACTTTTTCTTTTTATATAGCCGCACACTAATGTGTACTTACTTCGGTATCTAACTATATATGTCGCAAGCGTTTTTGTTCACTGCTGTGCTGAAAAATAGCGGCACTTAGCTGAGTGGTACAGGGATAGGGTAGATGTGTACGTATTACGTGAGATTGCACAAATGCTGAAACGTATTTACATACATATGTTGCGCTCGAATTATTTACCGCTTCGGATTTTTGGCGATTTTATAAGGGTATGAGCAAAAGCGTGCGTACATATGTATGTACATATATGTACATGTACAGGATGCGCCAAAGGGGACTGTGTGTATATGCGGTTGTTTTGCGCGCTAGTTCTTCGTTTACAAGTAGATTTAGGAGTTGGAGAAGGCAAGTGAATATATATATATGTGCACACAGGCGTGCAAACAATTATGTGTTAGGGTACAGCGTACGTGGAAAAATGGAAAATGCCCGTTTGGAAATTCGGGATTTATATACATCAAAATATGGGCGGTTAATAAAAGAGTTTATATATACATTTGCATATACAATGTGCTACGTATGTATATTTTTATAGCGGTTTTTGGATAGGGAAAATTTTTAACGCGCGGGGATTGTGAGTATATATGTACATACATATATTTCGGTATATATGTATGTCTGTATCGAGACAGTTATTTCAATTACGGTAAATTAAAGGTTCGACAACTTTAATTCACAGTACGGGAAACCGCTATAAAAGTTGCATACGTATGTATATAATAATATGTGCGCACTTACGGGTTTCTCTGGTACCACTTGTGACTATGTCCAACTGTACCGCAATTGTTTTGCCTTTTGTTCTGTGCCGCGACGGTGTTTTGCTGTGCTGCGCCGGTGATCCTGCTGCCGTTATCCTCCGTTGATGTTGCTGCCGCTTGCCAAGACGCCTCGTGAGAAATTGCGAACTTTTTTTTTTTTATATTAATATGTATATATATATTTTTTTTTCACTTTGGCTTTTTTTTATGCCCTGTGGCTCTTTTTCGTTAATAGCGTGTTCACATTAA